TGGAGGTCGCTCGTACCTCCATGATCCATGCGGCTGCCCCCCATTTTCTGTGGCCGTTTGCAGTCCAGTACGCTGCGATTCAGCTCAACCTCTGGCCTCGTGTCTCCTTGCCGGAGACCTCGCTTACACTGTGTTGGACGGGGGAGGTTGGCGATGCGTCGGTGTTCCGGGTCTGGGGATGTCGAGCCTTTGTCCGCGATACGTCCGCGGACAAGCTCTCCTCCCGCGCCGTTCCCTGTGTCTTCCTTGGCTTTGTCCCTGACGCGCCTGGCAGGCAGTTTTACCACCCCACCTCGCGTCGTGTCCTGCCCTCTCAGGACGTCACGTTTGACGAGTCGGTTCCCTTTTACCATCTCTTCCCCTACCACACTGCCCCTCTCCCTCCTCCGCCGCTCTTCCTCGCACCAGGTCCTCCTCCGGTAGACCCCCTCCCCCCTAAGGGTCCTGCTCCCTCAGGTGTGTCCCAGGTAGACCCTGTCGAGCCTGTCGAGGTAGCTGTCGACTCCGGTGCTGCTAGAGGTGCTGCGTGTGGGGGTGCTGCACCTGCGGGTGCAGGGCCTGGGAGTGCTGAGCTTGAGCGCGCTGAGCCTGGGATTGCTAAGTCTGAGGGTGCAGAGCCTGGGGGTGTAGAGCCTGAGCGTGCGGAGCCTAGGGGGGCTGAGCGTGGGGGTGCTGAGCCTGGGGGTGCTGAGCCTGGGGGTGCTGAGCCTAAGCGTGCAGCGCCTGGGGGTACTTTGTCTTCTGGAGGTCCACCTGGTGTCTTGTCCCGTTGGGAGATGCTCTCTCCACCGCAGCTGCGCGAGTGGTTTGCTCGGTGCTGGAGCCTCCGGAGTGGTGCTGCTAGAGTTGGAGCTACGGGAGGTGCTGGAGCCCCTGGTTTTGGAGGTGCTTGTACTGGACGTACTGGAGTTGCTGGGGCTGGGGGTGCTGCTAGAGCTGCTCGAGGTGCTGCTGGAACTGGAGCTGCTGGAGGTACTAAAGGTACTGAAGCTGGAGGTGCTGCTGGAGCTGGAGCTACTGGAGGTGCTGCTGGAGCTAGAGCTGCTGGAGGTACTGGATCTGTTAAGGCTGGGGGTGCTGCTGGAGCTGGAGCTGGAGGTTTTGCTGGAGCTGGAGCTGGAGGTGCTGCTGGAGCTGGAGCTGCTGGAGGTACAGGTGCTGTCGGTGCTGGTTCTGGAGGCATTGAGCGACCGCGACCGTACTTTGTTCCCCTGCTTCAGCGTGTTCTTAGTGTCCCACCTTCTACTGACCTTACTCCTCCCTTACTGTGTCCACCGCCTGACCAGTCCCAGCCGCAGTTACAGCCAACCTCCCCACTGTCTGCTCCTTCTCCTTAGTCTGAGCAGCCCGGAGGTCTTACAGAGCGTCGTGAGCCTGCATCTTGTCCTGCGTCGCCTGTTCGTGCTGTTCGCACTGGTCCTCATGTTCTGCGTCAGCGTCCTCCTCCTGTCCCCGGCATGCACTAGATGGCACTTCGTCCTTCCTCTGTTCCACTGCGTGTCCCTCTCCCGTCTCCTCCTACGTCCTCCCTTGCTGATGGTCCGGACCCGGAGTCTGACTCCCTTCGTGCTGCTAGTCCTAGTGTCACGTGTCTCCTGGCCATTGTTATTACTGATCCTTCGTTTGAGTCTATTGCTGCGTCGGCTCTTGTTGCTAAGCTGGTTGACTTTGCCGCCGCCTGACCTCTAGACTAAGCCACTAGCCTTGTTGCTGAGTCAAGGTCTATTTGTCTGTCCTCCGTCCGTCGGGGGTGAGTGTGCTCTTGGCACGGACGTCCTTGAGGACAGGCTGGAGGACTTTGAGTGTTTTGCAGCTGCTGTACCTCATCTCGTGTCCATGCTGATTGCACCCGAGGGAGACCCGGATGCACTAGACATCTCGACCCCGCGCTCTTACGCAGAGGCGATAGAGGGTCCCTACTCCTCTCAGTGGCAGGCAGCCATGGATGCAGAGATGGCATCCTGGAAGTCCACAGGCACTTACGTCGACGAGGTTTCCCTAGCTGGGGCGAACATCGTCAGTGGCATGTTGATTTTCAGGGTGAAGGGGCAGCCAGGTTCTCCGCCTGTCTTCAAGGTGCGTTACGTTGCACGAGGCTTCAGTCAGCGACAGGGAGTTGACTTCTTCCAGACCTCCCCTACCCCGAAGATGACCACACTTCGGGTACTGCTGCACGTCGCCGCTCAGCGTGAATACGAGCTTCACTCTCTTGACTTCAGCACTGCTTTCCTATAGGGCAGCCTGCACGAGGAGATCTGGCTGCGCCGCCCACCTGGCTTCACTGGGTCGTTTCCTGCAGGTACCCAGTGGTGCCTCCGGCGGCCAGTCTACGGTCTCCGCCAGGCGCCTCGCGAGTGGCACGACACACTGAGGACGACTCTTGCAGCTCTTGGGGTTGCTCCTTCTACTGCTGACCCGTCGCTGTTTCTACGGACCGACACTTCGCTGCCGCCGTTCTACATCCTCGTGTACGTCGACGACTTGGTCTTTGCCATTGCTGACACTGCTGGACTCGCCCACGTGAAGTCGGAGCTACAGAGGAGACACATGTGCACAGACCTGGGTGAGCTGCGCAGCTATCTTGGCTTGCAGATCACCTGGGACAAAGCACGGTGCACCATTACCTTGACGCAGTCACACATGGTGCAACAGGTCCTTTATTAGAGATTAAGGATCGAGTCTGTGAAGATTAGGAGCCTAAATTTCTCAAAATCGTTGGCTTGAAATTCTGGACAGAAACCGCGACTTCACAAGAAACGTTGTCGACGAAAATTGTACTGTTAGAATCGTCTCAAACTCGAGTATGTTATAGCCCTTGTCCGTGGCTATCATTCCCAATTTGAATCGTATCGAAAGGTGGCAACCCAACTTTGACCTTTGTCACTATCCCAACCTCCACAATCCACCTCAACCCAACTTGGCCACACTTGCCAACCTGGTTTGGTTTCTCCCAACTAATTGGCAGCAACTACAGTAGTAGTGACGAATTTCCCAACCCTCAAAAGTCTGTACCCCATATTGAGTCAACCCCACAACTTCCCATAGTCACCACAACCAAATATCAAAAGCATACGAACTCCAACGTTCGTAACTTTCTTGTTTGTGCTCCGATTGAAGTGATTCTTGGTTCGTCGGAAAGCTCTTGAGCAGTGCAGTCACTTCAGATATCTGCTCAAGCCAAATAACATTCACACACACTTAGAAAATCCAAACCGCACAAAACACAAAGTCTTGCACACACTCACAACACGCATGCAACGCACGAACATATGATGGGAGGCAGACAGACATGAATGCGAATGGTAGCATCACTCAACATCCTTCAGCGCTTCGACTTCCATTACTCCTTGCCACAGTCCACTCCTCTGCCTACCGGTCACTCGCTCTCAGCTCTGCCTTCGGATGAGTTCGTAGAGCCAAGTGGCCCGTATCCAGAGCTTGTGGGCTGCCTCATGTACCTGATGACCTGCACTCGACATGACCTTGCTTACCCTCTTAGCATTCTGGCACACTAGGTTGCGCCCGAGAGACACCGACCAGAGCACTCGAAGTCCGCTAAGAGGGTGATGCGCTACTTGTGCAGTACGTCGGACATGGGGCTCACGCTTGGAGGACGGGCTCGAGTTGTCCTCAGTGGTCACGTAGACGCTTCTTGGGTTGACGACTTGGCTACTCAGCATTCGTCACAGGGTTACACCTTGAGCCTTAGCTTCGTCTCTGTTTCTTGGCGGTCTACCCGCTCGTCTTCTGTTCTTAGTTCCAGTTGCGAGGCTAAGATCTACGCAGGGGCCATGGCTGCACAGGAGTTACGCTGGCTCACCTACCGGCTAACCGACTTGGGAGAGCCGCCTCGTTCTCCTCCAGTTCTGTACGTCAACAACAAGGCCATGATTGCCTTGTGTCTCGAGCATAGACTGGAGCACAGAACGAAGCACATCGCTCTGCGCTACTTCCTTGCTCGAGAGTTGCAACAGCGTGGTCAGCTTCACCTTGTTTACGTGGCCTCTTAGGCCAACACTGCTGATATCTTCACCAAGGCACTTCAGTCTTGTGATCATCAGCGTTTCTGTACTGTTCTAGGCCCTGTGCCTACTTTGCCTCACTTGCTCACTTCCTGACTTTGCCTGTACTGTGATCTATATACATATACATGCATGCTTACACTTGCTAGGTTGTGATCACTGTACTGCTTGTTCTCCTACATACATAACTCTACATGTGAACTAGCCTTGTGGCCATTTGCTTGTGCTCAGACTGCGTGGTGACTTTGTGATCCACCCTGAGCTTGCTTTGTTTTTCTTGTTTGGTCTTGTGACCTCTTGTTCACCCCCACTTTGCCTATGGGGGTGTGTCAAACTTATATGTTGCTCATTGTGTAGGCTGTAGTGGGGTAGCCCATATGGGGTACAATCCAATTAGGGTTAGCAGTTGTACCCATCCTGCTGTTAGTCATTTCATTCCTCGTTCATTCTCCTGACATGTGCCAATAAAACAGGGCCCTTGGAGATGTGGGTGAGCTCAACGGAGCTCTCTCATTGGTTGGTTGGATTGTTGGGATCCTTGGCCAATAGGGAAAGGATTCTTAGGATTGCATGAATAATAGAATGATTGGTGGTTTGGGTATGCCCTTCGACTATATAAAGTCCTTGTAGCTTGTGTGTAACTCATATAATTCATACTGCATTCTTACCAATGCCACAAGCTCTCTTGCCACCTTGTACCTTAGCCTACTCAAGCTACCTTGGGAGGAGCATCACTTCAAGTGGAGAAGAGCCCAAGGGGAGGGTTGCAACTTTACAAGGAAGTGCAGTCCAAGAGTGTCTTGTACAACAAGTGATGCGAGAAGGTTATACGTATCCGGGTGATGCTCAAGAAGGAAGGTCAGAGTTTTTTAGAAGTTAGTGATTTTCTTGTGGCTCATACAGGTCTCTCTCCCTATGGCTGATAAAACCGAACTTGTGAGTGATTGATCTAACGCTATGTCGACGATTGCTGCATCCATGGGCCAACTTCCGTGCTTCGATGGACGCTCACCTGATCCCAAAGTGTGGTTAAGCCAAGCTACGAGGGCGTTGAGGTGCTTCCCCATGAACGCAACCGACGAGCAGAAGCTGGATTGTCTCCTCATGCACCTCACTGACTCCGCCTACATGTGGGCGGAGAGCAAGGAGTTCAAGACGGTGGCAGGCTTTGATAAGGCGTTCAAGGAGCGGTTCGTGTAGGAATTAACTGCAACGGTGATGCAAAAGCTTTCGGCACTCAAGCAAAAGAAGGGGCAAACGGTGGCAAACTTGGCAGATGAGGTGAGGCAATTGGCCTCCTACGTTAAGAGCTATCGAACCCCCATGATGGTGAGAGCGTTCATTGAGGGTTTTGAGGATCAGGGGTTGAGGGAGAAGGTGTTGGGAGGGAGGCCAATTTCTTTGGAAGCTACCAAGGAAGCAGCCAAGTATTTCGTGTCGTACGCGCATTCGAAGGAGATAGAGAAGGGAAAAAGAAGGTAGTGAAGGAGGAGTCGGGCGTGGATAAGATCACGAAGCAGTTAGAGCGCTTGATCATGCAACTCACGAAAATGCAGCAGGGAAGGGGAGACAGGATTCTCCCTGGGCTGGGGGGATAGGAGGAGGAGGAGGAGGAGGAGGAGGAGGAGGAGGAGGAGGAGGAGGAGGAGGAGGAGGAGGAGGAGGAGGAGGAGGATTCAAGTGTTACCATTGTGGGAAGGAGGGACATATGGGAAGAGAGTGTCCTCAAAAGGGGAGGCTAGCTATGAATGTGATGCAGCAGATCTTGGAGAAATACAATCCCACCATGACCATAGCGGAGTTCTTGAGTGGGGAGGAAGGAGGAGTGACTCTTAAGAGTGAGCGGAAGTTCCACGCGGGATTGACTGCCATCCTCAAGACTCCCGACTGGCAGCAGTCTTACCCCAACCTCATAGGACTCTGGGTGGCTATTGCAGTCTTGCCTCTCAGCACTGTTGATTTTGAGGGAGGCTTCTCTTGACAAAACCTCATTAAGAGGTGGCAGAGGGGCAGTATTATTGATTGTAGGCTCGGTGATCTTCTGTGCATGTCATTGCTAGACCATGAGCTAGATTTTACACGAGTTGTAGAGATTTGGCGCGACTACAAGAAGCGCCGGCCTGTCACTGCACCTGCTACAAGACACAGGGTTTAGTTGATGGTGGAGTGCTCCTATAGAAGTTCTCAACTCCGACCCTGATTCAGATATGTGAGATGGTTTATTCTAGTGTTTTTTATGAAAATGCATGTTCGGCTTAAGTTTTACAGGTAACAATGAAATTTCAGCCTAGAATATTTATGATGTCTGAATTTCCAGCCTAAAATTTTGAGGCAACGCTGACACATAGAGTTCCGAGAGGGGTGCCAACTGATCGTTCAGTGTACCACAAAACGAATCTAGGGGCCTGATGCCCTGCATTAATTTTAGACTATGATTAAATAAATTTATAACCTTAGGGGGTAGGCTTATAATATATCAAGGTTTGTAGGGGGGTGCGGTTCTAATCGAGTTCCGGCCATAAGCGCACTGCTCCAGATAGAAGCGCATGCGCTTAACATATGGTAGGCCTGCACTTATATCCGGAGCAATACAGTATTCTATGAAGTTAATATCAAACTCAACTATTACACTATGCAAGCACAAACGCACATAGAACCTTCGTTGTTGAGAAAACATGCACGACGATACGGGAGCTAGAAGCACATAGACAGAAACCCACAAAGAAAAGTCCACATAGTAGATCTAGTAAATAGCATGAACCCTTGCAGCAACATTGGTGCTCTTGAGAAGGCAGCACCCAAGAAATAAATGAGGCTGACCAGGCTGCCTGGGGAATGGAAGTGCTGGCACTTCGCGCTAACCCATGATTCATGAACTTTATTTAGGATGCTCCTTCAACAGCACCAGAAAGGAATGAGTGGAGAACGGATGGAAGCACATATAGTCGGGCTGAATATGTTTGCTGTAGATATAGAGTGATGATGAATGTGGATATAGCTAGTTCACTGAGAATGCAGGAGCCATGATGGCATGACACGTGGCTGGTGGTTGTCCATGCCTTTCTGCAGTGGGTTGGGAAGAATGAAACACCAACACTGTGTGTCCCTCACTTGCTCACCCCCTCATACACGCCCCTGGGTCACCCACCTGGGCTTGCCTCCTTCGTGATGCACTCACACCCACCAGTCAAGCGCCACTCACCACATCCCTCTTCTCCTTTGTTTGGTCCAGGTCCCCCTTATTCTCTTAAGTCCCCTGCTCTTCCCTCCACCCCTTCCTCCATGCTCTCCTGCACTCACTCACCTTCCCCCACACATCCCAACCCACCCCCGCATTCACCTGGAGTGGCGCTGATTGAGGAGGGAAGAGCAGTCCGACCCACAATGTCCGCCCATTATCCCCTCCCTTCCCCACCTCCACTCCTTGCATTTCTCGTAGTGAGTGCGTTACCTGGTGACGCCTGCCTGTGTGGTACCAGCACGGGCAGGGAGGGCATTGCTGCTGCAGCAGCATGCTTTTCCCACCATACCTACACACGCTCCTCTCTGCAGACCCGCACACGCTTCTCCTATCATCCGCTCACCTCACATGGCGTTGACATGTGGCGAGTCCCAGCCATGGGGCACAATCCCTCTAGTAGTACCCCCGCACCCTCTCCCTTCTTCCCCTCCCAGTCCCCTCCCCCCTCTCTCCACCCCCCAGTCTTCCTACCACCACACCTCGCATGGCGATGACACGTGGCGGCTACCAGCCTAGGGGGCACAGGAGCAGCATATCCCCCTAAATATATTGCAAGCCCCCGCTCCCCCCGCCACACCTACATTGCTCCGCAGCACCAGTGAGCCTAAACGGGCGTCACACCCGCCTTACAATCTTACCCGTCTAGCACTTCACTGGCGCTGGAAACTTGGCAAGAGGGAGTGTCCTGAGAGCAGTCGCACTGAAGGTATAGCAGCAGCAGGGGGGGCACAGGGGGCGATGAGAGTTGAAGGCATGAGGAAGAGTTGAAGGCATGAGGAGGAGTTGAAGGCATGAGGAGAAGTTGAAGGCATGAGCGGAAGGGTTGAAGGCATGAGGAGGAGTTGAAGGCATGAGGAGGAGTTGAAGGCATGAGGAGGAGTTGAAGGCATGAGGAGGAGTTGAAGGCATGAGGATGAGTTGAAGGCATGAGGAGGAGTTGAAGGCATGAGGAAGAGGGAGAGGGCAACCGATCGGCAACAGCAGTAGCAAAGCAAAAGAAAGCAAGTGCCCAAGTGCAGTCAATGAATATAGATCCGGAAAGCAGAAGCAAATCACGTGTCCATGTGCCACGGAGGTAACCACCGCGCTGCACATGTCGACTCACAAGGTGGTGGTGTATACGGTGTTTGGCGGATCATGCTGGTACGTCTTTGAGGGACTTCCCTGGCAGCCCGGCATGGGGTAGGAGAGGCGGGCACACTTGTTGGGATAATCATGTCAACGGGAGTTGTGGAAGGCCCCGTCCTCGCTTGGGCGGAGCCCACCTTGTGGTCGGGTGTAGGGGTGCAGCCGACCGGTAGCAGTGGGTGAGCTGGTCGACAGGAGTGGTCAACCTGCACGGGGGCCACTGCATGGGCGCCGACTTTGGAGGGCGCCGAGTTTGGGAGGTCGACTTTGGAAGTCGACTTTGGAAGTCGACTTGCGGAGGGCGTCGACTTGGTGACGCCGACTTGGGGCAGCCGACTTGGGTGGCCGGCTGACAGGATTGCTAGTTGACCTAGTGTTGGTCGACCAGGGGTGTTGTCGACCTGGTGGTCGACCAGGCCTGGTGGTCGTCAAAGGTGGGGCCGACATCGACCTCCACAGGGGAGACTGGAGGGCGTCGAGGAGCAGGACATCGAGTAGCAAGGCGCCGGGATGGAGGGCGCTGACCTTGGGTGACCGACGACTTGGCGGAGTCGGTAGCCTAGTCCCGAAGTGGTCGACGAGGGGATGCCGACCAGGGAGGACGCCGACTTGTTGGCATCACCCTAGTTGCCCAGTCGACAATGTAACCCAGGCGACGGACTTGTGCGGGAGCATGCGAAGGTCGCCGGGATGGTTCTGCGACGCCGACCTCGGAAGTGGTATCCCGAGGTTGACGTGGCTGGTGGGCAGTCGCTGGCGTGGAGTCAGCCTGGGTGTCTATCCTCTGCATGTGATGAGGAAGCGTGCACCCACCAGCTACTCGAACGTGCGAAGCAGGTGCATCGTTGTCCTGCGGGTGCAACGCTGTGCAGGCGACTTGCTACAGCGTTGGCACATCGTAGACCTGCAACGTTGGCAAGCCGCGACTTTGCTCTGCTGGAGCGCGGTCGACCAAGTCGTGCTGGCACGCGGTCGACCGTGCTATGCTCGAAGTCGAACAGCAGCCTTGCTAGGTCCTGATGTAGTCTTGCATGCCAATGTTGTTGCTATCATTGTTGTCAACTTTCCTTAGTGAAACTCTTGCAAAATTACCCCGTGAACTAGCAAGCAGTGTGTGCACTAGGAAAACGACTAAGGAACAAATGCAGAGATCACACGAGCATGCCTAGCCCGTAGTCTAGCTCCTGTTGATAGACTTATCTCCACATGGTGCGGTGAGCGAGGACGACACACGACTTACCTTTCAGTCAGGTCGATGTAGTTGTCACTTACCTAATTTGTGTTCGTAGGCCGGCAACTGTGCTGTCGTCACTATGGTAGGCGCCGTAGTTGACACGAGGATGGTGGACACCCTGGAGAACGCGAGGACACGTCACGAGGCTAACAAGTATGGCGACCTGCCCTGGGCGGTCGTCGAGGCTGGCATCCATGCCGTGTGGGCGACGGAGCACCCTTCTCGGCCTGTCTCTCCTCGACCGGTGAACACCGAGGGCGGCGTCGACGTGGGCGTCAACGCCAGTGGTGGCCAAGTCGGCAGCAGTGCGGGAGGCACGTCGAGGCAACATGGTGTGATTCACGCTGATGAAGTCGGCGGCGTTCAGGTGCAAGAGGCGCGGTCGTTGGCGGCTGCAGGCTCCTCGCAGGGCGATGTCGGAGGTCGACGAAGCGGTTTGTTGCCGATGTTGGCGACCCACGTAACTGCGGGTGGGATAGCACCGAGCTACCCCTAGTTCAAGTTTACGCCAGACAGGATCTTGGTCACCCCTCCGCTCGTAGGTCGACCGGACATTCTCACCTGGAAGGAAGCTATCGAGCCCCAGCTAGAGATGGCCGGGCTGATCGGCTTTGCCCGCGGCACCGCGGCGCCGGAGGAGACCTACCCTGACCTGCGTGCGGAGTTTTGCGCCGTGCAGCTGCTGACCTTCACGGTCATCTCGCGGTGCTGCTCGCCGGGCGTGCAGATCGCCTTGAAGTCGTGCAGGGAGTACCTCGACGCCGGCCAGAGGGCGTGGCACTTCATCAAGTCGACTTACCAGGTCACCGACGACTTGTTCAGCGAGTGCAACGATGTGCAGCCGACTTGCTGCAGCATTGGCACATCGTGGACTTGAAACGTTGGCAAGCCGCAACTTTGCTCTGCTGGAGCGCGATCGACCAAGTCGTGCTTGCACGCGGTCGACCGTGCTGTGCTAGAAGTTGACCAGCAGCCTAGCTAGGTCCTGATATAGTCTTGCATGCCAATGTTGTTGCTATCATTGTTGTCAACTTTCCTTAGTGAAACTCTTGCAAAATTACCCCGTGAACTAGCAAGCAGTGTGTGCACTAGGAAACGACTAAGGACCGAACGCAGAGATCACATGAGCACCCGTGCCTAGCCCGTAGTTTAGCTCCCGTTGATAGAGTTATCTCCATACACTAGTGCGTATTATGCCCCACGGAATGACAATGCTCATTTCGTCCTCTAGTTCCCCCGGGTATTGAAACACGTCTTGGCATGGCGAAGCCCTAGGGAAAGTCAATGTGTCATAATGGAACAGCATGCTTCTATGTCTTTGGTAGCGATTTCCACCCAAGTGTCTCCCACTTTCTGCGTCGGTGCGGCTTGCCTTGATATTTGGTCTAGAACGCGGCCGCCCGTGGCAGCCATGATCGCGGTGAGAGCAACGAGGCCAGCGAGAACCGCGGCGAGGCAGGATTGAAGGGCGGAACACGATCCTCGCGCCATGGCAACGAGAGAGGAAGGAGGGCGAGGGGAGGATGAGAGGCTGCGGCGCGTAGCAGTGTGCATCCCAAAACATTTGGTCGGGGGGTTGGGGTACCAAACCATAGAGTTGCTACTTTGTATTCCCGTCTATGGTGTGTGCTGAGCACGTTCGCGGAAAATACATAATATTCAGCCACCCTAGGACGTCACCACACAGTTCGAGCACAAGAGCAAGGCCAAAAGGCCAGTTCACATGCAAGATCATATATAAAGGTAAACAAGCAAGTGCAGGTATAGAAAGATCACAGTATAAGCAAGGTCAAGAAGTGAGCAAGTGAGGCCAAGTAGGCACAAGACCTAGCATCGTACAGAAGCGCTGATGATCACAAGGCGGAAGTGCCTTGGTAAAGATATCAGCAGTGTTGGCCTCAGAGGCCACGTAAGCAAGGCGCAGCTGACCACGCTACTGCAGCTCACGAGCAAGGAAGTAGCGAAGAGCAATGTGCTTCGTTCTGTGCTCCAGTCTGTGCTCTCAACACAAGGCCAGCATGGCCTTGTTGTCTACGTACAGAACTGGAGGAGAACGAGGCGGCTCTCCTAGGTCAGTCAGCGGGTAGGTGAGCCAGCGTAGCTCCTGTGCAGCCATGGCCCCTGCGTAGTGTGAAAACTGAAACGAGAATGATGCACTAAGGAATGGAATGTGGTACAAATATGCAACCCTAGAAATGTGTACCCCATATAGGCTACCCCACTACAGCCTACAGAACATTATGATTCGACACACCCCCATAGGCAAAGTGGGGGAGAACAAGGGGTCACAAGACCAGTCAAGCAGAACAAAGCAAAGCTCAGGGTGGATCACAAAGTCACCACACATTCCGAGCACAAGTTCAAGGCCAGAAGGCCAGTTCACATGCAGGAGCACATATATATATAAAAGGCTAAACAAGCAAGAGCAGGAGTATATATATGTGACAGTTGAAGCAAGGTCAAGAAGTGAGCAAGTGAGGCAAGGCAGGCACAAGACCAAGCTGAGTACAGAAGCGCTGATGATCACAAGGCGCAAGTGCCTTAGTGAAGATATCAGCAGTGTTGGCCTCAGAGGCCACGTACGCAAGTCGCAACTAACCACGCTGCTGCAGCTCACGAGCAAGAAAGTAGCGAAGAAACTGCGACGGGTCAGCAGTAGAGGGAGCAAACCCAAGAGCCGCAAGTGTAGTCCTCAGTGTGTCGTGCCACTCACGCGGTGCCTGGCAGAGACCGTAGACTTGCCGCTGGAGGCTCCACTGGGTGCCAGGAGGAAAAGTCCCAGTGAAGCCAGGTGGGCGGCGCAGCCAGATCTCCTCGTGCAGGCTGCCCTGCAAGTAAGCAGTGCTGAAGTCAAGAGAGTGTAGCTCGTAGTCACGGTGAGCAGCTACGTGCAGCAGTACCCAAAGAGTGGTCATCTTCAGGGTGGGAGAGAAGGTATGAAAGTAGTCAACTCCCTGCCGCTGACTGAAGCCTCGAGCCACGTAACGCGCCTTGAAGACAAGCGGAGAACCCGGCGGCCGCTTCACCCTGAAAATCCACATGCCACTGTCGATGTTCGCCCCAGGAGGAGGAACGTCGTCAATGTAGGTGCCTGTGGACTTCCAGGAAGCCATCTCTGCGTCCATAGCTGCC